GCGCGCATTTGCACTTGGAGCGCCTTCTCCAGGTGTCGCCTTTGCTGTGTTGTGGTCATTAACTCTAATTACTCTAATTAAACTGCTCATAGTGAGCCAAAAAGCACAAAAGATTGCATTGTCATCAGTTTCTAGGCTATCCTGAAAGTTTCAGCTTGATAGCTAGTCAGGAAGTGAGTGAAATTTGAGTTTCAAAATTTGATCCGGACAAACAGACAGACAAGAAAGTGAGTTCATAAAAACGTGGTAAAAATTTGCGCTTGTGAGAAACCGTTGACGGATTTTCAGCTTGCTATTCCATATTAAAGAGTAGTTTTTCAGACCGGTCCAAGTTTTCAAAAAATCCCATTTTTAAAGTTAGACTCAAGCTTCATTTTCATAATCAAAATCCAATGATTGTACAGTGACTCGACAAAGCATTAAATTTTTGAATGAACGTCCAAAAAAAAAGTGGCGTTTGTGAAAGTGAGAGAGGGAGATAATTCGACTCCCGCAGGACGACTGCTGCTCGGAATGCCTGGAAATGAATTATGCACGGACGAGGTTTAGAGAGTCCATTTCGTGGTTCCCACCGGGGCTTCGTTCCAGCGTCAAAAATTCATCGTGGAATTGGCAATCAATGCCCTCTTCCCTTGATGAGCCGCGCGAGGTCTTCGAAACGGCATGCTATTCTCCTTGTCGACTCGCGTGAGGTCCTCGTGTCAGGCTCTATAATAATGCGCAGGTCGAACGTCATCCCACAAAACTGGTCTTAATTCAAAGTTCAATTTCGAATCAAAATTCAAATGATTTATTGACAGGCAGAAAATGAAGTCCGGAGCAGAAAATGCTTTCCGGCAAAACCCCAGTTGAAAAAGAAAGCCAATATACACTCAAGAAAAATGAAACCCCTCAAAAGTGGGTGTTCCTCTCTCAATAAGAACGAAACCAAATGAAATTTTGTCCAAAATTCTAGATTAAACTAAAATGAAGTAAATCCAGCTTGAAAGACATCATTATGAACCGCATTCAAGAAGCTTTGTGTAATAAACTCTAAAATGTGTTTGAAAAAAAAATTGGATATAGAGCATGAAACGTACCCCGTCCGAAGTCTAAAGAAAATGCCATCCTTGAAATGTATCAAATCAAAATCGTATTGCTAAACATTCTAAATTCAACTCATGAAAATCAAATCACTTTTAAAGGCCTCATTGAATCTCACCTACACATTTCAATCTCCACTTCACGTTCCAATCATTTTTTGAAAAACAAAAACTCCAAACTAATACAGACAAGATTTAGGTTCTAAAATTGCTATATATTTTTTTTTTAGAGAGAATAACCCTGACATCTGGATACCTCAACATTACTAGACCATTTGAGTTCTGGATATTTTATAGGAACTTCAACAAAAAATCTTCCAAACGCACAGACTTTTTTTTTAGTAGACACGGGTTAAAAGATGATTAAGCACTGGAATGCATATGAAATGAAAAAGACAAGATCTGTAATCTGAAAAACTCAGGGATAAATTTATTTAAATTCATCGTGATTTAAAAAATATATATATATAATCACACGTTTGTTCAATCCAATGCGACTTCGCTTCTCTTATAAACATGAAAAACGCTAGAAAATCTGTCAATTTGTCTGTATTTATTGCTTAATATAGGGCAACAGTACTTTGAAATGCTAAAGGAACAATCTTATTGGTACCCGGAGTCCCGGACCCAAGCGGGTTCCCTTGGTGATTCGGGTTAGGGTTTAATCGAATCAACCCGGATGAAGCCTTTTGATCTCATCCCAATATGCTTGTGGGCATATCGCCTCAGGCATGAACGTACTTTTCAATGTAAAAAGAAAGAAGCCTTTAATTTAATTTCAATTATTCAATAAATACGTGTCATCTTCAAATAGCATTTATTGTTGTGTGTTTGAAGTCGATTTTTCCTAATTTTTTAAATACTGTACTGCAACTCATCATACATGAATGCAGCATTATTTTTTTCTCTAAACAATGTTCAACGCGGTATTTCTATGATTCATTCAGTTTGAAATACTTTGATTAAGGAAATAATTCTCGCAGTATTGGGATTTAATATTTTAAATCAAGTGTCTCGTTGCATATTCAGCAACTTCATAATATGGATTCGAAAGTTTTTCAGGTGGATTTTCATTTTCCGAGTTATAGTAATGGAATATATTTCTGACGCGGGTTTTTATACACTGTCATTCTGAAGCATTGCAGTATTTTGAAAGCATTAACGAATGAGCAACTCCTTTTACAGAAAAAATATGTGACAACTTCTGCTTGGCATGTGTATGCAGTACGGTATATATTCGAAATGGAAAATTACCGTAGGCTTTCGTAAATTAAATCACTTGAAGCAAATTAATAATTTTTCAGCCAAATTTGATGCAGTTGCATGTTTGTTCGCCAAATTTCGTGGTCGAATTTCAAATGTGTCGCGCGTTCTATTTCAAGAACTCTGCATTGGATTAATTTTTGCTCGTTCGCGGGGGGTTTTTTTTTTCTTTCTTCCTTTTCAAGTCAATTTTTCATGTATTTTTGTTTTCACAGGGGAGTGGACTCGAACCTCCGCTCGCTGTCGCGTAAAACAATCATAGAATCGATAAAGGCGTCGCTCCAACGACTGCAGTTGGAGTACATCGACATCGTGATAATCCACAAGGCGGACCCCATGTGTCCCATGGAAGGTGAGGACCCCTTTTTTGACATATCTGACCTTTCGGGTGGGAGGAATGACGGGGTTACGCATAGTAGTGGAAGTATCGGAGATACTTGTTGAATTTGAATGTTATATAAGAACCAACATAGGCACTACCTAGTTTGGTGTTCTCCAACCCATATATGAGCTTACAGACTTGCAAGTTTATATAATTTTTGTGGTACATTTCTGTGGACCAGCAAAGTTTCATAAAATTCTTGCAGAATCAAGAAAGTTTTGTTTGAAAGACTTTGGCAAGCATTTGAAAAGATTCTGCTTTTTGCAAAAATTATGAACCAACAAAGCAGCTGTATATAATGTAATATGTGTTCAAAAAAATTAGAAAGGTGGGCTTGAGGAAAGGGTTTTCCAGAACATTGATACACTTGAAGTACTTTCTGTCAGCATGTGAAAATTTGCAATAAAGAATTAGGACAAAATACAATTCTAACTTTTTTTATCAGATAATTTCAACTGCCATTGTCTTTCCAAAATTTCAGATAAACATGACAGGCTCAATTTGCTACTTTTGTTAATGTATCATGCTGAAGAAAATGTCCCATGGTCAAAAGACTTCTGCAGACTGGTGCTGGTCTATGTGGACCACAAGTTGGGGAATACTTACCTAGTTCAAATTCAGATGATCCTTTTTAATGGATTGAAGAGCTTGTGCTTGGAAAATGTATATGAATATGTGTTGAGGAATTAATTGACCCAACATAAAGAATTGAACCATAGCGCAGTGGAATAAAAGGTGGGAAATAATAAGGCAGGGAAATCAGCCAGTTTGCGGCCAGGAATATGTAATTAAAGGGGAACCTTAATTACATATATCCCTAGTTTTGTCTGGTTTAATCACAGTCCACAATAAATCACAATCAAACACAATAAAAAATGATACATCACAATAAATGCAATGATGCAACACACATTCAATAAAAACAATAAATTTGTGCACACAAATTTAGGGTGCAATAATGCAATGCAACAATTCAATCAGAAGAATTGGGGTTGGAATGTTTGAGGAAAGTTTACTGTAAGAGCTAATTTTAAGGACTAATTATTGGGAGTGGAAGAGTGCTGCGTTTTTAAACATTTTAGCACAATGCTTCTGTCAGCTGACCTGACTGAAGCATTGGATGCTTTTTCTTGCCTGTGATTGGTGGAGAAATATGAATTGAAGAAGTCGCACATCCAAGGAGCGGGTGCAGGAAGGAAAACAGGACTATAATTCACGTCCTGGGACCTGACGTCCCTGGGCCCGAGTTCTGGTCCCCCAACAATATGGAAGCTGCAGTATAGGTTTATTGCTTGATTGACAAATAAGCTTTATTTGCCACTTATCAGCATTCACAAGGCTCAAAACAGGTTTCCTCATCTATTTTGCATATCCTGACCTCATCTGAGAAGTATATAATTGATGCTTCATTTGGACAAGTGAATTAAAAATTAAGCTTGTGCATCCCCCAAAAATTTTGAAAAATAACATGCACTCATTCTTCGCGTGTTTATATGTGTGTGTATGCAAATTTTAAACAGAGGTTGTGCGAGCAATGAGCTATTGCATCAACAAGGGCTGGGTCATGTACTGGGGATCATCTCGCTGGAGCCCGGTGGAGATTTTCGAGGCCTACACCAACGCCCGACAATTCAACTGCCCTGTGTCCATTGTGGAGCAAACCGAGTACCACTTCCATTGTAGAGACAAGACTGAGTTGTACTTGCCGGAAATGTACAATCAAATTGGTGAGAACCGCAATTGAGGAATGCAAGCTTTTTTTTCAACTACCTTGGATAGTTTTCTGGTGCATGCAGTGGTGGAAAAACAAACAATATTTTATGCCCCCATGACCAAATACAGTCAAACCTCTGTAAAACTCAAATTTCAAAGGATCAGCAAAAAAATCTACTAATTATATAGGGAGGTTTTGACTTGGAGAGGTTTTAAGTTATTTGGAAAACAAGCCTTTCTGTGTGGGAAATAAAGAAGAATTACAGTAATCTTTAATTCGTGATATATTCTGGGTCTTAAATTGCTACTTTAATGAGTTGATGGGATGCTGAACTTGAGGATAAGTGTTCATTTGCCTATAATTAGTCTTTCACTTCCTTCCAAAGCACTTCAAGTTACTTTTGTATTGCTTTTCTTGTTCCTGTGTCAAGAAAATGATGGCAAAAAAGGCCTCAGAAAATTTGAGTTGTGGAGGTTTTAGAGGAAATGTCTTGGAGTTGGGGAGGTTTTCAGTGAAATTTTTCTAAGGGAATTATTCAGATGAAGACTTACGCACTTTTTATTTATTGTACTGGGATTTTCTTTTCGGGAAGCCCATCCAAAAATTATTGTATGCCCCTATTAAAGAATCATTTGCCATTCCGTTCTTTAAGGGAAGCTTACCTAATTTTTATTTACTCTTTTTGGATTATTCTTTGGAAAGCTCACCCCCAAAAAAATTGGTGTGCCCGTGAAAAAAAATAATGTCCAATCCAATGTTTCACGTGCTTTATTGAGGGAATCCAAACCAATTTTTATTTCAATGCAGAATAAATTTGTGAGGTATGGTTTGTGTGTATCGTATGTATTGATAGCCGACAGAAGAAAGTTTATCGATTCCTGTCTTTTGGTCTTCATTTACACTTGAATTTTAATGAATGCGAATCAAGTTTCTTCCGCAAAAGGTGTGCTTGAAAATCTCGAGTTGAGAACAATAGTCAAATGTTTCTGACTGTTGCAAGAGAAAAAGACATACATATAGACTTATTACACAGTATTTCGATTAGATTAATTTTTAAATCGGGATCAGCGGTTTCCATTTGAAATTAAATGTGATCCAAATAAATTGTCAATTCGGTTGCAGTAGGTTCGGAAGCTTTGTTCAATGAATCTTCTAACATGCTTTGAATTCGAGAGGAATTTTGTCTTTTTCATCATTCGTTTTGAGATTAAAAGTCCTCATGCTTCCACCTGCTGAGCTGTAATTCAGTGAGGTTCCCTAATATTTGCATCAAGAGACGAGAGAATAAAAGTGTGGGTTAACGTATACTAAACATCTTACACATACGACTCATCTGATGCATGTTGTATGCATGAGAGGGGAATATATAAAAGAACAAGAAAACTTCCTGACTCGTATTCTTCTTTCTTTCTTTTTTTTGTGCTGGTTTTCCATGAAATTTGCAGGAGTAGGATGCATGACATGGTCACCACTCGGAGTCGGACTCGTCGGCAAATACGACGACGGGAAGCCGCTTTTTTCGAGACCGTCCTTCAAGGTAATGCGAATTTACGACAAGGACTGAGAAGCAAGGGAAAAAAAGGAAGTTGACCTGGATTTTTGCTTCTTCTTCTCCTTATTTTTCTGTTTGGGTGTCATGCAGAAAAAGTATTCCTCCCTCGGGCATCCGGAAGATCAAAGCAAAGATGTGAGTGACTGCTGGTCCAGCATTTCACCGACTTCGTTTTTTTTTTCCGCGACTCCTTTTTTTATTTTGTGGGATTTCTCATTCGAAAATGGGAAAGTTCATGTGGTTTTTTTTAATTTCAGCAGAGAATTTAAAATTCGGGGTCAGGAAAACAATTTCGCGTGCTATTCATGCATTGTCTTGGATTCCTTTTGAAAAGTCATCAGATATTCGCTGAGCAAACGTGAATAAAATTATTCGAACATTGAAGAATATTTTTGAAAGCATCAAGCATTATCGTGCGTGACGGTTGAAGAAAATTAAATTGAAATCCCAAAACTACTGCAAAACTAGCGAAAGTGATAAATTTACTGAATTTCTGCTTTTTCCTCTGCTGTTTATATATCTTCTACAATTTCATCTGAGACTTGTGGAAAAGTTTATTCATGAAGAAAAACGGCAATGAACGGAAAATGACTATTCAATCTCTTCGATGGTCTATGAATCTCCTATATAAAAGACTGGAGAAATGAGGAAATTTTCATTATTTAAATTTTTAAAAATTAATGAAGAATCGAATGAAATGAGAACCTTTTCATGGATGATGTACTGTTCATACGGATTTTGCAGTATTTTTTCAATGGATTGTTTTGCCTGATTCAAGCAACTCCAATGAAATAGAGATAAAAATATCCAATACTGTAAATTTTTCTAGAATCAAAGAATCAAACATAATGCACTCCTAAGCCCTTTAAAAATGTATACGGTACTCGTCCATGATCCGAGCCCCCTTTTTTTCTTTATCAATTTTGAGAAAAGAAAGTGCGTGTGGGTATTACTCGAGTAAATACGGCGGTACTCGAAAATATTTTTTTTTTCCTTTCATCAGCTTTTCTGTGCTGCAGGAAAGTTGGCAATGTAATCTGAATATTTTCTTGTACAAAATCTCTGTGCATGCTACGGGCTCTGTGCTGTGCCGGGGCGTGGACTCAAACAGCACAGCGAGGGCAAAGGGGGCGCTGCATGCTCGTCTTCCGCCTACTCCATGTCCATGCAAGTGGACAGCCGACTGACCATGGAAGAGTTCCAGACGCAAAGGGACCAGCAGGCGGCCCTGGTGGACGTTGCTGACCGGATCGGCTGCTCAGTGTCTCACTTGTCCCTCGCCTGGTGCCTCAAAAACGAGGATGTCCAGTGCGTTCTTGTTGGTGCCCCCACACCGGACCAGTTCCTTGACCAGCTCTGTTGTTTGCAAGTGAGCGTCGATTTATGTATGAAACAGATTGCCAGGCTATCCTGCTGCACCCGAGCGTCTATAGCGCGAGTTTGACGGACACTGCTTTGAGCGACCTCTAGTCAGACAATTACAAACTACGTTCGAATTTCCTTCACAGATCATGCCTGTTCGCTCGCGGGGTCGATCGCGCACTCATCCTCTAGCACTCTATTGCAACAATTGAGTCTGTTAGACGAAGGTTGACTACATTCTTTTGACTAAAGTTTTGCGTGTTTCTTTTTCTTTCATAGATATTGCCAAGAATGACGCCAGGGCTGATGATGGAGATTGAGCAGATCCTGGAGAACAAACCCGTCCGTCCGGCCATGATATCCACACTGCACAAACAGAGATGACACATGCAGGCCATAGCGGAAGCGAGTGGTTGTGTTCTGACTGCGGACGGCCAGATCAAGAAGCAGGTTCCTGCGCAGGACTCGGTGGTGCCCAAGTGGTGCACTATTTTGTGAGGAATATAATGAGGAGCCTATATTCTTCATCGTCCTCTTGTTGTTATTGTTGGTTTATTCGATTGTTTGGTTTGATTTGTTTGTTTGTTTGTTTTTCTTTTCCTGTCCAACTTTGAAAAGAAAGAGAAAAAAAAGCAAAAACCGGTGGCTTTTTTAAAATTATATTTGTGTCTCCCCGGCGGGCGATTATATGATTGATCTCTTGAAATACTTGCTCCGTCTCTTTCACGCGTTTTTTCTCATCATGGTGTCATCATCCCCACGCGCCCTTTTTCGACTCGTATTCATTTGAAATTTGTTTTGATTTTTCGTTTTCTATATCGTCGATCGTCGCTTTTCATCCTATGTTCGGACATTTCGCAATGGTTCTTCTCCGAAATGATTATACAAATGTCTGAAATTTTGCCAGCCATATGCGAGGGTATAATAAGTCGTGTTTGAAATTTCCTCGCGGGAAAATGGAGGGATGAATTCCATTCGAATTTTTCAGAAATCTCTGCGGAATTGTAAACGTGTGATGGTTCTTTTTTTAAAAGAGTAATATGCGGAAGAATCAAAACTTATTCTCGACCCATAATTATAATACTGTAATGAATCATTCGAATAAGGAATTCTGGATAAATGTTCTACGATTTTTAATGCAAAAAAGGTTGAAGATTATATATATATACGTTGTTGGATGTTTAGGAATAAACGTCATGTTCTTGCCGGGAAAAAGGTTCAATCGCAGTTTTTAAACTGGAAATTTCAACGAAAATTCAGCTCTTTCTTTTATTGATCCGCGTGTTTCGAATTTCAAAAATGTGCGAATATTATTCTGACCCTTTCGGAAAAATGCACCATCTTCGCACCTTCGAACTTTCAAGTGGTCGAAAAAACTTCATCAAAACTTTCCCGGCGCACTTTGCCATGCGACATCATCATGTGCTAATTTGAAATTGGTGGAGTTTTTGAAAATACAGAAACGTTGAAAAATCTGGTCGACGTCTTGCATTTTTTAAATTTGGGTTCGAGGGATTTTTTGTAAGTCTACAATGATGAATCGCAAGCAAATTTTCATTGCGGATGGAGGATGAAATTCAGTGGATATTTTTTTAAACCTTATTTGATTAATTTTCTCAAATTGAGCCCAGGTATACCAACGAATTTAAGCTGAGATACCGTCATAAATGGTTCGAGAGAACTTATTCTGTTTCGAGCACCTCATCGAAAATGAAATGTCCCAGGTTTCAGTTTTTAAAATTAATGATCATCAAACTTAGTTTGGCATTTTTCGAGAATTTTTTTTAACTGCTCCGAAAGTTATCGACCTTTTTGAACGTGCAGCTGCTCCAGAATTTCGGAAACCTCTCGAAACGCCTTCCATGATTTAACATGAAACAGCGTCAAGCGACATCTATACAAAATATGAAAGAACCAATATTTTGGTTACGCCGTTGCTACCTACGTTTCGTCTATAGAAAGGAAAGATTCCGCAATTTTCCAGAATTGTCGATAACCGTCCGCAGCCGACTCGTCTTTCAAGAAAATTCGCGGCATGTCGAAATCGCGAAACATTGTCCGTGTCCCGGCTTCGAGAGTATAAAAGATCGCGTTCGACGAAGGTGAGGTCATTGAGGAGTCTGTAAACAAGTGAGTCAAACGAAAGACGTTGCACGTGAAATTTGAACGAAATCTTCTTGTTCGAAGTGATCTATTTTATTGTGTGCTGTGCTACCATGCTGCGATCTGCTTGGAATCCGTGGGCAATGAATCTGATGAGCGATTGGAACCGCACGAATTCATTGATGAACCAATCGTCTCAACCGTCGATCGATGACATGTTCATGCCGATGGATTACTGGAGTCCGATGTGGAATAGGGCTCTCACCGAAGATGGAGAAGTTGGTCCACTTCGTCCTAGTGTTGATCGTACTCGTAGTGGACTGTCACGTGTAGTGAATGACAAGAAAGAATTCAAGGCAAGTATAATTTCCCTCAATTCAACTAGGTTTTACGTGTTCGGTAAAATATCCTGTATAGGTGGCGATTATCCCTTTTTTTTTTCGAGAAGCGCGGGTTCTCGATGTTGGTCTGTAGGATGAGTGACGGATCGGAATTACGGAGGTTTTGTGAGGTGGTTCACGCTACTCAACTGTATTATTAATGTTCGTTCAAAATTTACGGGCAAGGGTATTTCGGGAAATCGCCACGTTCGAAAAATCGCGGCGTGATTTTTGGGTATCAGTGAACCTTTGGTGCTCTTCTTATTTCTCTGTGCCGAATCGCTGTAGGTTTTCGAAATACGCGTGTCATAGAAACGCAAGCTCATGCGTGTTTTTTTGTTGTTCGTCAAAGGTCATTTTGGATGTGAAACAGTTCAAGCCGGAGGAAGTGAATGTCAAAACCCTAGATAAGTTCGTCGTGATCGAAGGAAACCACGAGGAGAAGGAAGATGAGCACGGTTCATCCATCGAGCGCCATTTTGTCCGTAAATATCTGCTTCCCGAAGGTGTCAAGCCGGAATCCGTGAGCTGCTCCTTGTCTTCGGATGGAGTTCTTTCTATTTCTGCGCCGAAGCAAGCAGCGCTGGAGGCGAAATCCGAGGAAAGAAAAGTGGAAATTCAACGATCTGACAAGCCGGCCCTGAAGGAAAAGTAAAAGTCGTGAATGAGTTCGAGAATTTCGGGGATTATTTCTCCATGTGCTTGTGTATAAATAATCAGTGATTCCTCTTTTTTCTTGCCCCGAACCAAAATTGGCTGTTGATTCGCAATGATCAAACATTTTGGAAAAGCTTGTCGCAAAATCGAAGGGCATGGCTTCGTGAAATACAATCTATATTTAGAATACGCCTGTTTTATTTTACAATACTTTGCTCTCGAGAGGGGTCTTTCTTTCGATTCTAAGAATCTGAGCGAAGGTCATAGGGTGAATCCTGAATATAATGATCATATCTGTCTGAGGTTATATGCTTGGGGAAGGTTGAACCGTTAGCCCACATTGTCTCCATGTGGTGCTTTTGAAAATCTGGAAAGCAAGAAAATTGATGCTTTCTGATTCCCAATTCGGCAGTAAAATTACCATGCTGAATTATTGTGGAACGCTGAAAATGAGGCTAAAGCCACGATACCATGGCGGATCCTTGACAACAAAACAATTAACGATTCCTCTGTTATCTCATCTGAACGAAACAAAGATTTCTCTCTGAACTTAGGGGTGCATCCTGAAAAATTTTCTATTTACGTTCAGTCTTCTGGAATGGTATACTTCAATATTTGTTATGCATGTGAGATGTACACAGCAGCGCGTGTACACCTAAGGCTTCCGGACTTCTTGCTTGTGCAATCTTCAGGGCAATATATATGCCCCGTTGGCGCCCATGTTGCTTGCGGGAATTTGAAATCATCTCTCGCTGTTCAATCATTTCCCCTTCACAGTGGTCCAGGTGTCGCTGATGCAGTAAAATGTATTCACGCAAATTAGAAATCGGATTTTCGTCACACGGAGCCAATTTCATGGGATATTATCCGCCAAGAATTCATTTCTGAATTGGTGGAAAATAAAATTCGATAAATTAAAAGGGATAAGTGAGTAGCGTATATAATACCGTAAAATGAATTTACATTACATGGAAATGTTGTACTGTAAATAGAAATTCGATGATTAGGGCTTGCCCAAGCATTCTGCTAAGCTGCGTACAGAGTTATGTTACTTCGTACTTCGATTCAAGTAACATTTCTGAATAGCAAACATGACTGCCGGTGTAAAATGTGATATACAGTATCTATAGTCGCTGATATTAATTTATGTATTTCATATACATTCGTGTTATGGTGTCATAATTGAGGAAAATAAAGCGACAGACCTCATGAAAATTTTACAAATGATGTATGTGCATGCATGGTTATGTTAATGTTCCGGAATCACAGCATAATAATGACCATTTCTCCCAGCTCATTATATGATCTTGTTTGCTTTTTTTTTCTAAAACCTCTGACCTACTCTGTGATCATTAAGCATGATGATGAGATAGATATTGACGACCTTCAGCAAAACTGCTCCATCAAGGACAGAAAACTTGAAAGATTCTAGAAAATTCTATGAAATGTATGCCGCTGTGAAACCGATCAAGAATTTGTTTTGACACCTTTATAAAACACTGAAATTGCTTTAAATGATTCGAATATCAGTAGGAAACTTGATGTTAATGAGCGGACTCTCAACTTTTGACCTTATCTTATTGGAAGTAACGCTTCGCATAATTTTCGATATGCATATGGATTCAAGTGAAAATGTTTTGAGGTTTTAGAACAGCGACACCTACCATAAATAGATTCAAATGCGCGTTGTGCTGTGTGTGAAGATGCCTTGAATACGGGGATGACGGAAAAGGAATTCGATTAATAATTTTCACTAGCATTCAAACGATAATCGGTGTGCGGCATCGCAGGAGGAAGATGGAGGCGTTTCAGATTGGAAGTGGATGTAATTCCTTGAAGTGACGGTACTGACAGTTCATTGGATAGCTGGTAGATGACATGAGGGCTTTCAGGAATGTTCCAGAAATTTGGAGAGCTACTCTACGATGAAGGAAGCGCGCCAAATTCGGGTTCTGTCTGGAATTTTCTGGAATACTCCGCGAAATGTGAAATCGGTGGGAGTGCTGAATTTAAGCCCCACGGTCGCTTCGGAGAATTTCATCAGTGCTTTTCGGTGCGCGAAGCAGAGCAGGTATTGACGAGGCAGTGATAGCCGTGTCTATTGGTTGTTGCGATCCGTTACTGTGTGAGAGAAGCATCTGTTGAAGGTGAGGTGAACTTGAAATTGTATTAGTTTCGGGCGGGATAGTGTTGGATTGTATCCTGGCAGACTCGGACAATGGCTCGCTTTGGGATGGTTCCGTTTTTCTCCGCATGGCATGACGACGTCCCGAGGTCACACTCACTGTTCGATCAATTTTTCGGACAGAACCTGTTCGATGAGGACTTGGTCTCGCGTAAACGACTCAATAGTCCAGACTATGTGTACCTCAGCTTGGTCCCTTCAGCTTTAAGGGGCCAGGTAGGCCGGAGTCAACCATCTCGTCAGCGCAGTGGATTGTCTCAAGTTTCGAACGACAAAGATGAGTTTAAAGTGTGTAATGGACAAGCGGGGTCTTGGTTCGAGAGCGTTTAATCAATGGGGCTTGTGTTGCAGGTGTGCTTGGATGTTCAGCAGTTTAAGCCAGAAGAAATATCCGTGAAAACGGTCGACGACTACGTGGTCATCGAAGGAAAGCACGAGGAGAAAGAAGATGAACACGGGTATATCCAGCGCCACTTCGTTCGCAAGTATCGTCTTCCAGAAGGAGTGAAGGCTGAAGCTGTTACTAGTTCGCTTTCGTCGGATGCAGTCCTGTCAATAAGAGCTCCGAAGTCTCTTCCAGTGCAGACCAGCAACGAGCGTGTTGTTCCGATCACTCATTCTCCTTTCCCAGCCATGTCATCGGGTGGTGGTGATGCAGCTGAGAAGGATGGTGGGAAAAGTGGGGATAGCAAGATGGAGTCTTGAGAGCTCTGATGGATGGCGCAAGAATTTCAGATTACTTTTAATTCTGCAATTCACTTCGATTTTTTGAGAAAATTCATTTGCTAAATGCGTATGCCTTGTACAGTATTTATTCCTTTTGAGCTGTTGTTTCCGAAGTAACATTCGTTGTCTCACTGCTGCGTATACTACGTGGGCATAGGAGTAAAGATGTGTTGATCGAAGAGGGTTTTGCTCGTTTTTTGTCGCTCAGAATTAGATTCGTCCGAGTCGCGGACAACTCCTGTCATGAGCAGCAAGGGACTACGAGTCTTGATGTGACGAAGTCTCAGCAAGCATATGAGGAAGTCTGTTCTGAATTACTCGAGCATGTATGATCAATGATAGGTTCTGTGGTTCTAAATTTCCTATGTTTGGGAAGGCTTGGAAGTATTGAAAGTACTGTGATACGGTTTGTTTCCCATAAATCATGATTCGAAACTCATTCAAACTAACGTCCCGACTGGACTGCAAGATCTACGCATGAAAATGAACCGAAATGGGAATTCTATTCAGTAAATATTCGATTGATCGTTGGTGACAGAATCTTCTTTGACAGTGTGAGGATCGTCTAAGAAATGATCTCATTGTGATCAGGTGTGATACATTCGGAGATACTGTACTTCAAAAATGTGTCTAAATCTGTACTATGTCTTGGGGGAAACGATCTACGACTGATCTTTGCTGGGTGCTTCTCTTGTGGAGATTCTCCAAAATAGCTTGTTCCCGAGTGCGATTCATTCATGCCCAGTGATGGATGATTCTAGGAGTATGTTCGAGAATGCTCGTTTGGTCTGTGCAGAAGTTTTCGTTGCGGGATTCGTCTTCGTTCTTTTTCACGAAAGTGTGATTTACTGTATCGTTTCACGTATATTTCCTGGGTCAATTGATGTATTATTGTGATCTGATGAATAAATATGTGATCTGCATCATGTTTATGCATCGAATTTCCTTCATTTAAAGTCTGAAGTTGATATTTCTTCCGTTAGTATGTATTCCTAGGTGCAGGAACTGTGGTCGCGATGGCGAGCTTTGCGCGCGGTAAGCGCAAGAAATTGAACTTACCGGTTCAAAAAACCACGATTGTGTCCATGTTCGCGAAAATCGCTGCGCGTAATGATGCGGATCGTGGAGTTCCGAGCGCTAGTCAAGATGCGGACGACGATGACGTGATTTTCATTGAAAAAGAGAACATTACCCGCAGTACTACGAAATCGGCGGCGCAGCAAGATGTCATTTCAGGAGACTTGAACGCATCTTTTGTGTCGACGGCTTCGTCGAGTGTGTGTGGTTCACCGCCACTGATTTCTCGGGACCCATGCGAATTCTCACCAACGTTTGGTACGCTGAATTTCCTATGCGACTTCTGTTTCCTCTCGTAGTGCCACATTACCTCTCCTAATCTTTGCGTTTAAACGAATCTAGCTTGGTGGAAATGAAATTTCTGGTAGTCTTGACTCTTGAACTTGTTCAGCATCTATCCAGATTCCCTGAGATCATAATGACGGAACTGAGTGGGCATCGTAATCTCTTCTTCCTGGAAAAGTAGTCCTCACTCTGATTTTGGACAGCCAAGTGTGATGTGAAATTTGCGTTGGACGTGGAAAATTCCGAAATTTTCTGCGGAGAACGCGGGTAATGCTTTCGTCAAACGCAATTTTGTGTGTGAAATCTGGAAAAAAAAAATTCACAGTGTGATTATTGGGGCTTGAGCATAAATTCATGAATTGCCGTGCTGTATAATGTGGAAAAGAAGAAATGGCGGGAAATCACCCGCGTGTGTTCTCTTGGCGAGTTCGTATTAGTTTTTCCTCTGTTGGCGTCCCATTTTCGTGATGATGGCCTAGTCTAGACCGCATTTTAGTTTTTTAGTGTTGTATTCGGGAGGAAAATGCGTGGCCTAAATACAATTTTTTTCCATGGTGAAGGTAGTCCAGTATTCAACGAAATTTCGATTTGAATAAAAATTATTTTATCTCAATGCGGATGGATTTCCTATCATAAATGAAATCGTACTTGGTAACCTCGAATTAAATATTAATGAATTTTTCAGAAAGGGTCACAGTCACCCTGGACCGTGAAACAAAGTTTCTTGAAAAGAGCACGTAGCTGTTGATGAAAAAATAATATCGCATGATCAACGCTCCATATCTCTCTACCATTCTCATGAGGCTTACTCTATTTCGATGCTGTATATCTTTTCAGTTCACAAATTTCTGAATTTCATTGCTTTCGATTCATTTCAGGTGATGTTTCTGAAGCTTCACAATCCTCGGACGTCTATGATGTACGAATAACCGAGTTTTCGGAGTACAGAAGTACCGGATTCGCTTCTACACCAGTCTCAGTATCTCGTCACAAATCGCAATTGTCACCCAGAGTGAGAAGGAGCATAAGCTCGTACAGCGTTTCCAGAAGTGTGCCAGTCGCTCTGAAGAACAGTCCAGATATAAGGAAAGCTTTCTCGACTTCGAGGAAAAGTTTCAAGAAACGAAAATCATCCGATTTAGTGGACGGAGCGAAGAAAAATTTGCTGTTTATGCCGCAAGCATTCGTATCTGTGGTTTTGGAGGAACCCTCGCCCAACAGATTTCGGCACGAAGTTGGAATTTACTTGCGACCATTCCAAGAAGTTCTGAACACTGTTTTTTCGGAAGAAAACGCATCATCGCACTCGGATCTTTTCGCCGATGACGAATTGACGATCATAGAAAATTTTCGAATGGCCAAACTAAGTTCCCGGAAACTATTCGTGCGTTTATTTGAACGCAAGTGGACGTGGCACAATCCTGTGGATGTGAAATATGCCGACATTGCTGATGATTTACTTCCCGTATTTGAAGATCTCGCTTTGCGCAAGTTGATTCTAACCGGTGAGTTCAAAAACTCCGAAGTTTCTTTTCTTAAACGTTTGTCGAAACCTTTGTTTTTTTTTTTTTTCTTTAAGGCCCATCGCATGACGGAACTTTTGAGTCATTGCTCGAACTTATGGATGTTCTTCCTGCGAGTGAAGCCAAGACACTCTGCTTGCATATGAAAGTTAAACCGGCCGGTTCTAAGGAGAAAAACGTTGAGGCGTTGTTGAAGCACGTCCAATCATTCAAGCAAGGCATCTTCGGATCCAGCAACGGCTTGAATATAGCTTTGAAAAAGTAAGCTGCGAATTTTCTTTTCGTTTCTGATGGACTTCATTTTCTGTCCATTGAAATTTACTTGATCCAACCTTACTTCGACGTCGTTGTTATGTGTAGTATAGTGTCGTATTTTTGCAAGAATGAAAGGCCATTGATTCTAAGACGTTCATCGATTCATCACATTAAGCTGATCAATCTTTTATTTCGTTGCCAAATTAAGGAATCTATAAGTGCACCAATGTGGTATGATATTTCACTTTAAAATACTCTATAAATTGTGATGACAAGCTGTGATTAAAGGCTCCCTTCAATGTTTTTCAAATTTGAATCCACTTTTCATACATTCTTATGAACAGGTCATCAGAAAAAAATTCTACGGGTGGACTTTCTCTAAACTAGATTTTTTTGGGTGAGAATCCCCATGTTATAAGGGTAAATCGAGATGTTCGTTGAACATCTCTGTACCCTTGAGAATAAATTTCGTAGTTTAAAGTATTTTTTTCAAGAAGCAAGCATGAAAATATATTTAATACCTCGTTTCTTATAATAGTTGATTTTCTCCCCGACGAATTTTTTATGATTCCTTGAATTTCGTTGCGGAGAGTTCACCTGTATGAGAAACGAGGCATTATATATATTGTCGTATTTTTTCTTGAAGAAAAGCTATTTTAATCATTGAAATTTGTTTTTGTGGTGGAAAGATTTTCTACGAACATCTAGATTGCGTGTAAGCGTCTAACTTTTGCGCAATCCTGTGTAATGATATTTCGAAAAGTTTTCGTTTGGGAGGTTTTAAAACATTCCACTTGATTACTGAAGGGTTCTTGAGTTACTTGGCGTTCGGTACAAGGTGAATGCTTTGGCGTGTGACGTGTTCAGAAGCGTTTTCCTGCTTTATTGCCCTCCGGACTTTTACTCCGACGGACAAGAAGATGCTTCTTTGGTCAAAGCTCAACTTCTTCGAATGCGGCAAGTGGATTGGTCCAACGTTTGTTACCCAGTTTCGACAGCGGATCGGAAGACGAAAGTATTTCGGAGTCGAGAAGACTTTGTGCGATATTCCAAGGCTCACGCTCGTCGGGAAGAAGTCTACTGTAAATTCATGGAACAAGATTACGACAGAATCAAAAAGCTCTGCCCTCAGATGATGGAAGACTTCCGCTCTTTGTTGCTCAATGATGAGGCCAAAGAGTTTGCGGAGAGTTTGCCGTCGTTTTTGAGGAGATATCATGAGGGTTCCGTGTTGGCGTCGTCGCTGACGACTTGTGCGGATGCACTGGAAAAGCTTGGAATGCATCGTGACGCCGTTGACGTTTTGAAGCTTCTTTTGAGCCAGAGTCTGTTTTTGCCCGATTATCGTGGTCGTTGGCACGACCGCCTCGCCTTGGATCTTCATGTTCATATGAAAGAAGCTGAAAGTGTTAGTTTTGTTTCGTTCTTCAAAATTTTTTTCTTTTGAGAATACCATTGCTTTACAATTTTCAGGAATCTGCGTTTTTTTTATCATAGAATTGTTTGATCGTTGACCAATTCACCCCATTTACGCAAACGTAAGCACCCCTCGAATATGAGGCTCCCCCAAGATTTTTCATGTACAAAATTAAAATTTTATTGATAGGTGAATATGCGGTAAGCACCAAGTGATTTTCCCAGATTTGAAAATTTCTGACTACATTTTTTTTCCAGAGAAAAGGAAAAGGTGTCACAGAACCCTAGCTCTTCCCCTTCAGGTATTGAATCATGTATCTTGAAGTGCTAACAGCTGACCAATTCTTTAGTATTCCAACTTCCATTCCAGAAGAACTGAAGAGAATAAGTGCTCGATCGTTTTGTGGACTGCCAACAGAAAGATTTCTTGATATCGTCGCGTATTAATACTAATTGCATATAAATGAAAATTTAAACACCTCCTAGTTTTATTCATGTAAGTACGGTACTTCACCTTGATTTTAAATTTAACCGCGATTGCCAGTATTGAACCAAATATAACGACGGCAAATCGATGAGTCATCGTAACTTATTGATAGCTGTTGCATCGCCATTTTCTTCCTAATGTAATTAACATTGATTAGGAAAAACGACCGTGTATGGAACTGCTAATTTGTGAACTACAGTACCTGGAATTTTTTCATGGATTTAATTTGACAGGGGTGCTGACATTCTGCGCAGTTCTTTTTTCTGCCAATACAGTAATAGCTTTTAGCGATCATACTGTTCTTTTAATAGACCCTCGTTTGTGAACGTTTTTCCGCGACTCAAACTGATCATCGTTCTGGATTTCTCAAAGATTATCAATCGAAGGGAAGGTTAAAAAAAAAAACTTGATGGCATTTTTTGCATTTTAAAGGCAATCGACGCTCTCGCAGATGCTCTGAAGGACCCAGAAGTTCGTTTCGCAAGGCGCTTGGCCATTCAGAATCGCGCAACAAAACTACTGCGGAAATTGGAAGCCCTCGAAAACCAACGGTTATCTCAACGTAATACAAAGCGACGCGGTGGTAATACCCGGGGTAGAGGTAGAGGAAGGGGACGGGGACGAAAATCTCAACCGCAAGTGGCATTGAGTGCGGATGACGATGGCGTGGACGACGTCTTGGTATTGCCTGATACAAATGCTTCTGCCAAGTGCTTGGAATGGCGAAAGAAGATCAATGCAGCTGGAGAAATACGGTGGGCGAATCCCAGCTGGATGACGGAAACGGTTTCGTGTCGAAAGATTGAAGGGTGAGGGATATGCTCTGAATTTAAGAAATGAAATGGATTTCTGAATTCTTGTGCTTTCTGAAATATATTGTCTCAATCCGATCTTGGCTAAGACTAGGTTTTTCGTGGGCTTAACATGGTTAAGTAGTTTTTCTTGTTTACCCTCGTCCTTTATGTACATTCAAAGAAGTAATCGCGTTAGGATTTTTGAAAGGGTCATGTGTAGGAAATGGTCATACAGTATTTCATCCATGTATTTTATATCTTAGTGCTGCTGGGAAGAAATCGACGTACATTTTCCGTAGCTATGATGATGACGGAAGCATGGTGCACAATTATTGTTCGGTGGAAGAAGTGGCGATCGAGTACTACAAAACCCTTGGATATGAACATGGTGAGTTTAATTTTGGGAGAAGTGTCATATGGATTTTCTCCTTTCATGTACGCGTTTTTTTTTTTTTCTTCTCAATCTTCAGGAATACACGGCGAAGGTAGCACATGGGGCGGAATGTTTGGATTGCTTTTCTGGGATATCATTTATAAATCGTTGCCGGATGCATTTCTGACAAATTTCCAAAGCGTTCCGAGTGATTTGAATTCAAGCGAATTTTATGCTCGCCGCAAAAGTGAGATTGACAATAGATTGGAAGAAATTGACAGCGATTTCGACGGTGTCCTTGATCGGGCACATTCCATTTGGGAGGAGCATTTAGAGAAGAAAACGCAGTCATTAGTTTCCTGGAACCTCTTTCGTGAGGATTTCGACTTCTTTGAGGTTTGTTGAAATTTTTTTTCTCCCGGGAAACCAGGAGAAAATCATTGCCTTTTTGAATAATCTTGAGCCGAATTCGAATTTTACACATTTTTAATCAACCATTTTTCTAGACCATTTTTTATTAGAATTTGTAGCATTTTCTTTTGAATACCGAAGACGTTGCAGAAAGAATAAGTGTGAAGCTTATGTGAAGATACATCATTTTGAAATGAATTTCACGAACACTGAGTGCCTCACCTTTGCATCAGTGCCAATCCGTGCATAAATTAATGATGCTCTGGTATTGCCATGAATTTTTGATTATTTTTAAATTTCCTGCGTTATTATCGAAATCATAACAAATAGTTTACTATGTTAGTGGCGTTTTCTCCCCGGCAGCGTGTTCTCCGGGAGCAAAACGTTTTTCATAATGAGGCATATGTAGTTCGTGTTCTCAGTGCAATACGAACTTTTTTTTTCTGTACAGGACTTCTGTCTAGCAGCGTAACTTGGAAAGTTGTTCGCTTTTAAAATGCGTGCGTGTGCTGAATGCGGAAGTTATTCCTCGTTTTAGGGTATGGTGCGAACCCTTGGGTCGAAAATTGTAGCTGGTGTTTGTGGGCGGCTGGCGAAGCATTACCGTTTTACGCGTAGTGGTCTTCCGGATTTGCTTCTGTGGTCTACGATGAATGACGTGAGTTGTGAAACACCTTTTGCAAAAATGAAAAGATCAGGATAAGTGCGTTCGCACTCATCACACAGAAATACAAGATTGTGGAAGTAAAGGGCCCTGGTGACACGTTATCAGAGAAACAAGAGCTTTGGTTGGAGTTCTTCGTGAGAGACTTGAACGCCGACGCTGTTGTTTGTGCCATTCGAGGTTAGTGACCGTCTCGTTGCATGAATCTCAAGTTCGACAAATCTATCATTTTTTCCTATCACCTTTGGATTGCCGATTAATGCTCGAATTTTTTAAATGAATTAGATGATTTACCGGAATGGACATCCACAAGCTCTCCTCGCGGCAAGAAGCGACCGAAATCGTCGACTCCTGGAAAAGAATCTGCGAAAAAAGCGAAGGATGGTTGATCTGATCCTGTGGGTCAACTGTGATTCGAATTTCTTCTGGTGTATTTTCGGCGAGTATAATTCCTACCGCGTGCGTGTTTGATACGTTTCTTATTGAAATGTATTTTGCAATTGACCATTTGTAATTGATTTGTGCTAAAGAACGTATTGTGCTCAATCGAGGAGAGGGAATTGCTGAAGCTGAATGACTGTCGCGTGCGTTTGATAATAATCACCTGATGAACGATGCATTGAAGTTTGTTCTGTTTATTGCTATCGTTAGTAATTTTTTATAGACGTGTCGTACTTCAGCGTAGAGTAGAGGTAGTTCAGCTTCTCCTTGTGTTGTCAAGTGACGCTTCTACATCGTAGTATGGATTTTCTCAGTCGCAGAATGTAACTATGTGCTCTTCGGAAGCTGATATGATGCAAGAGAATATTCCGAGCAGAGACGCGAACGAAAACGACCGCGATCTCTCTATAAAAGGTCTTTTGGACCTACGCCGCGTACTATTCATGCCTGCATCAGCTGCCAGTATCGATATCGCGTCAGACTACGTCGAAGATCGTGTGCCAAAAACTCGACTGAACCCCGTTGACGATGATCTTCACTTGCTCGTTTGCCTCCTGGAATCGGCGAAAGTGAGCCTTAAAATTTGTATGTACAACGCGAACGACGGTCTGTTGGTGAAGCTATTGAAGAAACTGCGTCGAATCGGAGTGGAAGTGACGTTTGTGCGCTGTGGTTCAATTTCGGCATTGTCGGGTAAAGATTTTCTCGTGCAACTCATGAAAGAGGGTGTGGACGTGATCAGCATGCCAACTCCCACGGATTCCGACGAACGACGCGCTTCTGGAATGGGTCAAATGCATCACAAGTACGCCATTATTGATGACGCAGTAGTAGTTACGGGAAGCATGAATTGGACGGACGCCAGTCTGAAAAACGTGGAAACCTTGGCCGTGTTCGACGACCCGAAAGTTGTGCAGGAATACTTGGAAGACTTCAGCAGGGTGTTGGGAGTGTTATTCGAAAGAAATCATTCTGCGGCTGAGTCAGCTGTTCAGCGGCTCAAGGAGACTTCGGATGTGAAGCATTGTGGGGCATAGAATTTTTGAATTACGAATGATGATTCCCTGTGTCGATTTTTTGATTTTGGATGTATTTCTTCTCGTGATCTTCACCAGAAGTTCAAAAGCCTCCGCGCGAATCACGATGAACCAAGTGCGCGTTACCGTTGAGCTGCTTGCCTGAACATCCATCCTCGCGTTGTCAAGCCTTTTTTTGCATTCCGATGAACGAATCATGTCGTTCGAGGATTATGCTGAACTTGGACAGTCCTTCTTGGCAGTTGCCGGTGCACATGACTCACCACTGACTGCGGACGCGATTCGCAAAGAATATCGCAAACTAACTGGGAAGGATATCAATCCTTCGCTTTTAGGATCGCATGGAAGGTATAAAGGATTTTTTCTTCAGTCGTTGAACTTGGTGCATCTCAGCATTATTTTACCTTAGAGTTTTTCCCCTGCATTTCTCCTGAAGTATACGGTAACAGGTCCTCTGGTAACTCTGCTACGAAGGATAATTTCAAGATTTCGTACGAGATTTGATGACATTTTTTTAATGACGAAATGAAAAAGCGAAGAGTTCATTGCATGAGCCGAATGCAAGCTGAAATTCTTCTTACAAACACGAATTTATGTTCATTCAACGTCTGGAAGAACTATATTCAGTTATGTATATTCTAAAATTTAAATGTAAATTTCAACCTCGAAATTTCAAGGAATTACGTATCGATATTTACTGGAGAGTACGAGGGGTTTTCCGAAAGTCTTGGAAAAGTTCTTCAAAATCGGGATTCTCCTCGTCAAAAGCAAAAAAAAAGTAAAAAAAAACGTATTTTAATCCCATGAAAAAAATAATGAACATAGCACCAAAGCATGATGTTTATAAATGAGCAAATTTTCGAACCCTAAATGAGGGTGGCTTTGGTAATACAGTATTTTAAAGAGGAAACGGTGCATGTGTTCATTTTATTTGAATCTTCGGATGATTTCTTAACTGAGAATTATTCTGGAAAATCTATAAACACGTGTTGAGGAATGAAGCCTCTCATGACATAATTTCTCCTAGACGGTCCGGTAATTTTTCGGGCGCTAGTTTTTTCGTAATCGATTTCCAACGTGAAGGGCGAAGGGAATAACCTCAAATTTCAAGACAGGGTTGGAGAAATTTAGAGGAGTGTTCTTCAACCCGCGGGCCGGCGCCGGTCTGCAGAAGTTTTTCGCCGGTCCGCGGGCAGTTTCTCCAGGCTAATGCATTTTTCTCAAGTAGCAATGAAGGACGTTACAGTATCTTTATTGTTAATTTTGGCAAGACAATGGCAGTTGAAATTATCTCAGGTTTAATACATCTTGTCTTTTCTCCTAGTAATACTGTACTTCAGACAAATTTTTACCTGATTTAATAAATTATTTTAATTTTTGAGTCTGAAAAACCTTTCGTCAAGCCCACCTTTCCAGTTTTTGAAGACGTTCCCCTATAGCTGCTTCATGGGTTCCTGAATTAATTTTGCGAAAACTAGCAGAAGCTTTTCATATACAATACCTGCCATTCAAGATGTCTTTCAAGCAACACTTTTTTGAGCATGCAAACATTTTATGAGAATTTACTGGTCCACAGAAAATGTTATGAAACTTTGCTGGTTTGCAGAAAATTTTGTGGAAATTTGCTGGTCCACGGGACTAAAAAGGTTGGGGAACACTGATCTAGAGGATTTGGAACAAAGTTATGGGAAGATCGCCTTCTTCTGAAGGATACTCGTGAGAAAATGGTGTCATGTGAAGTTCTGCAGTCATCATTGCTACTCCTTATTAAATTTTATTTGAATTAGAAGAAACTAAAGATGATAAATATATTTTTTAGTCTTGTACAATGCATTTTTGGTAGTTTGCAAAACTTCCGATCGAATCCTATAATATTTTTCCAGAAATTTGGCCGTGTTCGTATCATTTCATTTATGGAATTCGAGCAGATGTAATTTTAAATTCTGCCTGCGTAAATGTCCGGTTGAATCTTGATGCCAGTGAAACGTGATACACTATCAAAATGCTGATTGATTTAACTTTACAGGTTTCGTAGTTTGGATGATCTGTTGATGAGCTACTCTGAATGTTTCACATGGGAACGCGTTCGGAATCAGTTCTGTTACACGCCGAAAGTCGATCGGTTGCCAGAAGCTGGTCGGGAAGTTCGCAAGATGATTCTAAAAGATTCAGCAGTCAAAGACAGCAAAATATCAGGATCCACGAAAGATGTCTACGCGAACTACAAAAATGCCACTCAGTCGAGAAAGGATGCATTTTTGCCAGTTGAAAACGAAATCGTGCGCTATTTGTCGAAACGTCCGGATGGTTCAGTTCCGTTGGATGTTTTCATCAAGGAAATGTGTGTGAAAGTTTTGGAATCCGCTCCATACTACGACAATATTTTTCAACTCCTGTCCATGCTTCCGCGGTTTGTGATGAAGAATGATCAGCTTACCTTCCGTGGAAACGAAAAAGCTATTCCAAATCGAGAGGAAAAGGCTGACCCGCAGAACCTGTATTTTCCTGAAGAAAAACCCTCATGGTTACAAGAGAACGATGTGGAAAAGCAGTTGGCGGTGAGTTCAGTTGCGTAATTTTGCTGCACTGTTTTGCCCGTTTAATTAAGTAAGTGAGACCCCGAGATGCGGACGTAATTGGTGCATCAAGAGTGTCCCTAAGTCGAGTCTCATTTTCCCTTAGACTTACATTGTATAATTTTCAATTGGTGTTTTATGTACTAGTTTAATTAGAGTAATTAGAGTTAATGACCACAACACAGCAAAGGCGACACCTGGAGAAGGCGCTCCAAGTGCAAATGCGCGCGCCTTCTCCAGGTGGCGCCTTTCGTCTCCTTTGTTCGGAGCTTTGTGGCTGCGTTTTTGTTCTGAGGTTCGAAAGTCATTTTGTTCACAATATAGTCGTAAACTCGTTCTTCGCTTTATTGTGGTGCAGAATTTGGGAAAGAAAATTATTCAAAATTCCGTTGTGTTCTTGGGTGTGTGTTTTATTTGTTTTTGTGTTTCTTCATTTTGAGTTACAACTGTCTTATTTACAAGTCAAACGAGTCCGCAACAAAGATGTTGTACGAAGATGGAAGCGTTTCCGCTCTTCGCCGCGTTCGTACGATGTGGGTGAAGGAACAGTTGAGGAACGATGTATAAGCTTCTGTCTCGTAGTTTAGTTAACGTGACTTCTTCCTCTAGTCTAGTCTATAAATATGATATCCATTTATGCTAGAAATATTGTCGAGGAGTACAACTCTATTCTGCTTTCAGATGGAAGCTTAAGCGAAGCATGACCCTATTATATTCAATCCACACAGTTAATAGACGTTTTTCTTACTCACACACCCGCATTAACCCAGTTATAAAAGAACACGGTCGTATTTCAAGACGAAATTCGTTTTTATGCGCCTCTAAAAATTAATTCGCACGCAAATGAAGAACACGAAGTGGTACATCGTGAACATAAGCGTGTGCCAATATTTAGGTGGCAATGCTCATTGCTTGAGAAGAAAATTAAGATGAAGGCCTCAGTATACTCTATTTTTGTTTGATATCAAATGAAATGAGCCAAAAATATTGTGTTAATCGGGATTTTTTAAGAAGACTGTTACGAGAAGATTTCGATACAAATTTATTTTCCACGTTGGGCATTCAATTTTAATATTTATTGCAATTTTCTTTGTGGTTGGAAGATGTTGAGTGGGAGAAAGCGTTCGGAATTAGTCTCAGATTTGCGTAAATATGTTCAGACGAAATCACACGATTTTAGGAAAAAAAATTTCCACTCATCAAAGCGCTCTTATGCTATTTTATTATTAATTTTTATGATAAAATAAGTGTCCCTATGTCGAATTGTCCGCAGGCCGAGGTGTCCGCATGTGGGGGTCTCACTGTATGTGTGCGGTGATGAATTCGTGATCGATTTCTTCTGAAGGAAGAAATTTCAGTGGTCCTTTAGGAGTTTAGGACAGCAGGAATGCATTGCCATTTTTCGATGACTAGGGCTGGATTACAAGGCCAAGTCCAAGAACTTCCGGAAATGCCCTCGTATAAGCAACAAATTTTAGTGCACTTCTGCATCTTTTTCACTCGATTTGCTTAACGCAATTGAAATTTTCTCAATGCATAGTTCCAAATCTTATTGGGCTTCCGGTACTCGCCTTTTTTAATTTTGACCAAAGGACTTGAAGCAGTTTTGGCACGAGCGAGATGTTCGACATGGATGAAACGTTTCTGTTCATGCTTTTCTTGTCCCTTTTTCTTTCGATTTCAAGGAATTGCGGACGAAATGGAAACTCGGAGCGAGGAAGATGGGAGTTTGTGGCCCGGGTATGTTTCCTAATTTTGCGAAGTCGCGGCAAAACGTGAAAGTGATTTCCGGGAATTCCCCGACGCATTTCAAAGTTGAAGTTCTTGACTGGATCCCGCCGTTCACTTCCGAGTGAGAATCGATTTTTCATCTCTCTGTTCTAACGCTTGCATTTTTTATCGATGATTACTTTTTTTTTTCGCTCTGAAATTATTTATATTAGGGAAATCGTTCAAGTCAAGTTCCTGCCAGACCCTCTGATGGAGTTAAAAATGAGTGTTTTGGCCAAATATGAAGGCCGATGGCAGCGAGCCGAGATCGTGGGATTCCCGGTGCAGTATAAGCGGCTGAAAATAGAAGTGAGATATAATTACAAGTATACTCTCTGCAACAAACTTATCTAAAACGATTTTCTTTGCGTACCGATTTTTTTTGAGGTCGCGGAGGGTTTCTTCCCCATTTTGAAGGGGCTCTCGACAGGTGTTTTTTGTTTTCTTGAATTTCGTTGAAGAGAGTCCACGTGTATCACGTTACTGTGAGTATTGTTTCACAGGTAGATGAGCTTTATTTTTTTTGTGCAGGTGTATCTCATAGACGAAGGCATCGAAGTTGTCGTCAGTCCCGAGGAAGTGGCTGGTCTTCCGGTTTCATTCGTCAAGACGTGTCCTCGAGTGGCTTTTCTGCGCTGGAAATCTGCTCTGGATGTGAATTCTGCGCAAGATCTCGATCGATTCAAAATCAGCCCGTCACAATGCTACTTGGCCACATTCTACAGCATGTTCCCGGATCGTAGTTGGTTGGTGGATTTAGAAGCCCTGCATTTGGCTTCGCGTTCTTGAACACTGCTGTAAATATGAGGGTTGTCTCAGCTAGACGTGACCTCTGATATTTCTCGAGTAGCTGTGATTGTATAAAAAAAAAAGTCATGACACTGCCCATGATGTTCTGAGGTTCCGGGATTTTTTTCCGGATTTTAAAAAACTTTTTCAATTTACTGCTCGATTAGTGAAAACTTTCCAGGTACAGCCAGAGTTCTCCGCCCATGTCACAGGGTGATGCCAATTTTTCAGATTGTCCAAAGAAATAATTTTTTAACCCTTATCTAAAATTCGGAACAGATAATGAGTAAAACGGAACAAAATTTCAAATTTTCAGCTGACCTAACAAATTTCCAGCACCCTGTGCCATGGGTGTAGAACTCCGGCTACAACTGGAAAGTTTTCACTGATCATCATGCAAAAAATTGAAAAAAAAAAAAAATTAAATCCAAAAAGAAATCCCAGAACCTCGACCATTATGGGGTATGTCAGGATTTGTTGTTCACAATCTGGCATTCTGGTACAGAATCCCAGATCTCGGATTTTGTACAGATCTGGGATTCTGACCTACTCGAAAAAAAAATTATTAGAGGTCCCTTCCGACTGGAATTATCTTCCTTGTAGCTCACGAGTCTCATCAGTTTGATATCGACGTCGGTCCGATTTCAACGTTGTCTGCGCAGAACTGCCGCGGGTTTTCAATTATTTGGGCATTATTCTGTGATGATTTGAGCTTTCTAGTGAGCGTTTGATAAACTCACGTTTTGTAATTGGATCTCCAATTTTGGATGCTGAGGTGGAGGTGGTATAAAAAATTTTGATTGATTTTCCCAAAAGAGGTTGAGAATGCATTTCTCAGTGGAAAAAATATTGTTGTCGATACGCTAAACGTGGAGATGAAAGAGGAATTAAGGGAAATAAGAAATGGCGCGTTTCTTCCTACAAATTAATGAATGAAAATTTATTTTTTTTATCAAAAGAAAAACCTCAGTGGTACTTGTTACGGGTGGAAACTTTTCTCATTCCGGAGTATTGCTAGAACCCCGGAAATGCTTCGGGGTGTCGTTCATGTTTTCGAGTACAGGAACGGGAGAAGAGGTCTTGGAACTCCATTTCTAGCATTTGACAAATGTCTCTCTGTTCGAAGCATTCCAAATTTCGTCGGGATTCTGATTTGAATTACGTGTTATCAGTAACATTTACTATCTTATGTCTCACTTCATTATGAATCTCCGTGTGCACATCGCTTTCGTCTTTCCGATATGTGTTGGATCGGAAGTCCATGATGGAATTCCTCCATTTTTTCAGGTTTTCACTATTTTGCTTCGGTCATCTTTTTTGCACGCTCATTTGTAAAGTTTCATTTTTTCAGCTTTCCTCTTGTCAAAAAATCTCCCAACTGTGATGCTTTCACTTTGTAGGGATTGCAGTAACAAATCTGCAGCCTTTCTTAGGGTTGCACTTCGAATCATGAACATTTACCTTGTTGAGATTTTGGTATTGAACTCCAATTTATTCGGGTGATTTCTTCCTTTCGATGAAAAATAGAGCAAACTTCGGAGTACTGGGCCGTGTTTGCATTTATGCTTCTCTTTTTAATGTATTCGTAGATATGTTACCACTGCTTGTGCTAATTTGAATACTGTACTTGCTTGTGATGCTGCTTTATAATTTCCGTCGCTCACGGTCAGCAGGCCAATCATCTGGAGTTATAGTCTACATATGTGTGCCAAAAATGATAATTCGTGTAGGTTGGTAAAGTCAGACTAGTTTTTATTCGTCTGGAATTTCCGCGAAAAAAATACGCAGCTGAAACTCATGCTTGATTATGTGTCTGTGGGTGTTGATCTAAATCAGAGCTTCTTCCCCTTAATTTTCGCCTTTCATCCAACGCAAGAAAGCTGGGCTTCATCTTTTTTATTTTGGCGGTGAAAATGGTGGTGCTTTTGCAGAAAATTTAATTAATAGTTTTGTACAATGGATTGTAAAAATAGGGCGAACGACTTATTGGACATTAAAGGAGCTGAAGTCTTAAAATAGTTTCATCGGGTGTTTGCCAACCTCAATTATTTCCGCTTATATGGATAGAAATTCAGGTTACAATTTTTTGATACCATTGGACGCCAGTTGAAATTAATTAGCTGTGCAACAATATGTATAAGCTTTCATTTCAACGAGTGAACCCCGAATGGAATTGAAAGACGTCAGAGTGTTGCGGATTTATTTAGATACTGCACTGTTCAAAAGAAATGGAAAATATATCTTTCCCACTTTGGCAGGCATGCAATTCAATGATGGAGTGATTTCACCATCAAGTTGAAAACAAAATTCACGTCATTTTCCAAGACATCGCGACTGCAATTGTGGTGAACAAAAAGGTCAAATAATTACCTGTGGAAAAATATGAAAGAATTTCAATTTAAATTTTTAATGGGATTAAAAAATAATAATTGTGACTCACAGAAGATCCGTGTGGATGTATTGCTCGCGTGAGCGCTTCCGGAACCTATTGAATCAGTTCCGGAATGAGGGTTCTCCGTGAAATGTTTATCATGATCACCTAAGAAGTACCTTAATAATAATGACGATGCCCCGAACCCTCTTCCGGAAATTCAAATATTTTTTATATATTTTTTTTTAGGCTCACTGTTACATAGTTTCAAAAAATCTAACCTGGTTGGCAACAGATTTTGGCCTTGCTTTTTCCGCACATGTCACCTGTCAATGTTATTCCGTCACAAGTAGCCGACAGCAAAACGCATTTACCCCCATTTACTTCGCAGGCAATTTCTTCATTGCTCTCTACGCCTAGGCAATCAAAGAAGATTCCGATTCAAACGTGTTTGTTATTTAAATAAAAAATTATAAACATACCTGCCGGAAAATTGTAGCAGCTGAAAACCAGGAGCAAAATGAAAACTGGACCCATTTCTTCGGCGAAGCGTTTCTCACTCAAACAATATTAAGTACAGTCTAAAACTGAACCCAAGAAAATTGTGTTGGGAATCTTTCTTACGCAGCGTTATACCATATCCTTATCGTTGCTGGACACGAATGCAGGAAACTGCTCTTCTCTTATCCGAGCGTTAAAAAAAAACATGTGTATTTCCTGAAACTGGGCTAGAAAATATTTTAAAAATGTGTTTCCTGGTTCACAGTTTCCGGAGTCCTCCCCCAAGGCCGGCATTCAGTAAGCCACAAATGCGGAGAATAAGATCAATGTCCATGCTAGAATATGATTCAACTTTCAGCGAAAATTTCACCGGGAAACTCGAAAAGAAAAGCTCACCCAAGAAATCAAGACGCAGAGAAGCATTTCCTGAAAATGTTGATGTTTCAGTCCAGAAAAAATTGCATGTGGAAAAATATGAAAGAATTTCAATTTACATTTTTAATGGGATTAAAAAAAATGTAATTGTGAATCACAGAAGGACGGAAAAGATTCTAGTCTTACCTTTGCTGGAAGAGTAGCAACAAGCCCTAGTTTTCGTGTCCACCTCGCCGCACAAAAGAGCGCTAATTTCGTAAACTCCGTCGCAAAAATTCGTTGGGTTTTGGCAAGTTCCGTTAATTCTCGTAAAAGCGCAAGGCATGTCATCTCTGATTTCTCCAGCAATGTTGACCGTTTTGCCTGGTGATGAAGGGTTTTTTAAACCAATTTCATCACCTTCTTATTTCGCTTCGCCGAAGAGAAAACAAACTCACAGAAGTCATCACAGGGTAAACAGCATCTTTGCGACCCAGGGCACCCTTTCCCTTTTACCCAGCCTCCGAGACACCGATTTGTGGCCCACTCCAAACACTGGCCCTTGTGCAACGTGTGGCATTCATCACCCTTACCTAAATATATAATGAATTGGCCTTTTTCTAGCAATTTTGGTACAGTTGAACCTTTGTAAGTCGAACTTCAGAGGACCAGCAGACAAATTCGAGTTGGAAAAACAAGCATTTTTGTTGAGGGGAAAGAAAGAATAATTAGAAGATTTCGGAATGGTGATATTCTGGATCTTAAATTGCTTTTTGAATGAGTTGATGGGATGCTGAAGATGGAGGCAAGGGTTAATTCACGCAAGTGGTCCTTCAGAATGCATGAAGTTGAATTTTTATTGCTTTTCTTTTTCATGCGTCAATAAAATAATAGCGCGAAAGGCATCCAGGAAATATGAGTTTAGGAGGTTTACGGGGGAGAACCTTCAAGTTACGGAGGTTATTAATGCATTGTTGCTAAGGTAATTCAGGCAGGAACAAGGAAAAAATTCGAAATGAGGAGGTACAGTACTGTATTCGACGTGTGCAGATTCAACTGTATTGAATTTCTCCGGAATTCGGGAATCAAAAACTGACCTTCACTGATCAAGAAAATGAGAAGAAACGGAACAAGTAACAAATTGAGCAGCATCCTTGTCTTGGAATCTGGGCTGAAGTAGCTGAAGCTGGTGGCAATAATGAAGCCATTCTAGTTTTCGTGTTAACTTTTAGATAAGTACAGTATAGACTCCATAGAGAAGAGAAACACTAAATTGAGGCCATTTTTTAATCTCTTCAGCTTAAAGAAGCGTCAGGGTTTTTCCGCGAGATCTGAAGAAATTCTCTGAAAACAGTATTGCTTCATTTTTGAAAATGAAGACATTTAAAAAAAATTGATGTTTGTGGATCTCCGACATTGGGGTAAATTTTTGAGTTTTCCTGGGTATTCGAAAAAGTAATAAAGTGTCAAACTACACTTTTTTCAGAAGCATGGTGTTGGAAAATGTGACATCGAATTAAAGTCATTGAATTTTCTTGAAAATGAATTTGATTTCACGAACCAGCAAGTGAAATCAAGTATAATCGAGATCCCCGCAAAAAGGTGCCACTTGCGTTCTTACCAATTTATGTTATGGATGTTTTTGGGTTTTCCAAAATGAGTAAGAAAATGCAAGTGTTTTCCTGTCTCTGTCTTAGTTTAACCCAACCTTGCAAATGTAAGGATTTTCCAACTTTTCAAAGAAATAGTCTTATTCATATTCTGGATAACTTCAGCTGCAATATCTTCATTTTGATGTTTTCAATATTTTCATTTTGGTCTTGAGGCTATTCAAATTCATCATCAGGGTCTTGAAGGAACTCGTCTTGTGCTCCCAATATTCCCTTGTTTTTAATTTTTCCTCAGGCGGCTCAGAAATTCGATTTGTAACTAGCAGCTCTTCGGCGACCTATTCCACAGGCTACATTGAAAATTTCAATAGAGGATGTAGTTTCTCTTTCAAGGTTAATACTGTATTTTGAATTAATTTTTGTTTAGATTGAAAAGCTTTTTAAAGTGAGTTTGAAATTGAAATGCAATCAAAGTCCTTGGAAAAATACTACATATCTGTGATCTCCACAAAGCGATGGGCGATATTAAATTAATGGAGGTCCTGGTCGAACATAACTTCGTTCTACTAGACTGTCATTCTTGGATTCTATTATTACCGAAAGGGGTTCATGTTGGGCTCTATAGAAATTTCATGTGAGCGGAAGTTAGTACGACTGTGACAACTCATTAAAAAGTAAAATTATCCATTGTTCTACTTGATCGAAATTTCAATTTCTTTCAAAAAATTGGTACTGTTCTTGAAAATGGCGTGGATTTGATAAATTGAATGAAATTGACGCATTTTCCACCAGGAATAATACTGCCAGGGTTATGAAATTACAAAACACGTTGAAAATCAACTTCAAGTAGTCCGAGTTTAAAAAAAGCACCATTCATATTTTTAAATGCATTCCAAAACCATGCCAAAAAAAAGTGGTATCCATTGGAGGAAATCGGTCATGCATTATTTTCTCTATGCTAATTTTCAGGATTCCAACCGGGAGCTCAGTCATGTTCATTCGTTGATTTAAAAAGGAAAAACAGCAAGTACGAGAATATTGCCGAAAAAAACTAAAATCATGGCATTGATGAGATTTGTTTCAAGCTATAAAATAATATTATTCTTCAGTTCATCACTGAGGGACCCTTTATAGATCATGATGGGTCATTCGAAGTGATTTTCACCTTCGTTTTCCACAAGAAGTCCGAACACGAGAACGATCCTCAATAACGTCCCAAATCATACCTGTAGTCCTTTCTACAACGCTTGTAAAATGCAAGCAAAATAAAAATTAAAAAACTGCAACAAATTTCAAGATCCCAGCTGCTTCATTATTTTTCAAGATTGAATGAGCCATGTGAAAATGACAACCGATACCACATCAACTTGAGACAATGGACTGAAACATTGACAGTTTTACGAGAAAAAAAAATTGAGAGCGTGATTCACATCCACAAGAGAATTCGAAGCGAAATAAAATCAATATCAGCGGCGATGACTAGAAGCTCTACTTCTTTCTGCGTCATCAAATTGTATCTTTGTGTTTGGAAGAGCTTCTTGCNCGCGGAGACAAGCGATCAGCTGGAATCTTGACTCTCCTCGATCGGTACATTCCCTGAAAATGTTCTCAATTCCTTAAATTGTATTCTCTAAATACTGTATTTGCTTATGACATACTGTACTTGGTTTACTTCTGGATACCCTAATTGATAATGGCAGTTGCCCAAGGATTTACTGTAGCTAATAGAAAGTAGATTTTGAAATACAGTACAATATAATTCGTTACAACAAATCTCCCAACGACTTTATGCTTACAACTAATTTGTTTCGATCCCTGTCGAATAGCCACAATGTAATTTAAATGTAATTTTAAACGAATCTTTTCTCAAGGTCCCAAACGTTTCTTGACGAGATGCTACTGTACAACTAAAATTGCCGCAGCCAAGATTTTTCATGCGCAAATAAGACTGAATAAATGCCATTNTTATGCTTACAACTAATTTGTTTCGATCCCTGTCGAATAGCCACAATGTAATTTAAATGTAATTTTAAACGAATCTTTTCTCAAGGTCCCAAACGTTTCTTGACGAGATGCTACTGTACAACTAAAATTGCCGCAGCCAAGATTTTTCATGCGCAAATAAGACTGAATAAATGCCATTTTTTATTATTATTGCACATTTTGAATTCACGGTGAAGCTAATTTTGTGTGGTAGAAAAGCAAGAATTTTGGCCTTACAGAAATTGTGAAGGAAAAGCTAGGCCACACCAAAAAATCTGTGAGATGGGCGCTCAATATTTTGAGTGAATAAGAGCAGAAAGATGCCGGGATAACTTCTGCACAAACAAAATATGCAAGAATGTCTCATTCAGGGCTGGATTTTTTTTTCGCGTCCCAAAGAATTTTTTTCTGAAAAATAATTGTCTTGCAGCTCAAATGATACGGTATGCCGTTTCAATTTCTATCCCGAGAACATTTACAGTACAGTATTTACTCGAGTACTGTACCGCATGCCCTCGAGCAAGACGCGCAACTGGGTTTTTCATTTGCCATTTTTGGCAAAACCCTATCCCCTAGTTGGCCTAGTGAGACACGCACCTTATTTTGAGGGATTCCCAAAACACAATATTCCAAAGATAGAAGTACCCAAATTTTAATTTAGACATGGATTTATCTTGAATTCAACTAGTTTTCTTTTACTGTACAGTATTTCCATGTAAATAACGTCTTTTGTTCAACTTTGGTCCAAAATTTCCCCTTAGAAGCACGTGTAATGCACGCTGAAATTTATAAAACTTTTCGAAAAATGTATACGCGCTTGTCACTTACAATCCTACATCACCCTTTTTACCTCTCAAATTTGACGAGAAAGGAGCGCGTGGTACTCGAATAAAAACGAGGGTTGGTTCATGAGTTTTGCAACTTTTTGAAATTGAACCAACAGAGTTTCAACAATCCCAGAATTTCTTTTTACTCGCATAGGCCCATCATTTGGCAACACTTCGATGCTGTTCAACGTACTCTCCGCCGATTTAAATGCATTTCTTCTTGCGATAAATCCAAAGATCAAAGCAGTGCCGAAGATCGAGTTCCGTTAGTTGATGAGGCTGATTTTTCATGGCAGAAATGTGGCTGTCCCTTGTCCTCAAAATCAAAACCCTTTCATGTCGTTCTTCACTGTCGGGAACAGCCAGAAGTCACAGGGTGCCTAATCAACCAGCAGAACCCTTTTTTTTTGGCATTGTTTGGATTGTGGATAAATGCATTGAAATCAGTGGAGAGTGAATTGAACAGCACTGAAGTGTAGCCAAATGATTGGACTATGCAAGTACAAATACAGTGAGACTCCAAAAGATGTGGATGTCCCGAAGTTGAGTCTTGTTTTCCCATAGAGTTACATTATATACTTTTTAATTGGTGNTCCCGAAGTTGAGTCTTGTTTTCCCATAGAGTTACATTATATACTTTTTAATTGGTGTTTTATGGAAGAAATATTCTTCAGAATTCCATGAAAAAAAATTTGCCGCTTCAATTTTATTCAGTGAATGAATTTTCAACTCAATAAAAACATTTGGAGCATTGAATAGTGTATCTCTGTACTGCACATTGAAATGTTGGCATCCACAAAAATGACATTCAAGTCACAATGAGAAAAAGAAGTCCCTCTATGCAGCAGTAGGTAATTTTTTTTAATTAGCTGAATGGATATGAAAATGATGGGAGAAATGACAAAGAATTTTTCTTGATGGGAGAAATGACAAAGAATCTTACAGTTCGAAATATCTGCTTGTTGCAATCAAGCCAAATAAAAGAAAAATTTTGTGGAATTTATTGGCAATTTTATCATGCAACGTCCTCATGTTGAGTCAGTGTCCATATGTCGAATTCTCCTCATGTCAAGGTGTCCACATGTGGGGGTCTCACTGTAATTTTTTGAATTGTTGAAACTCTGTTGGATGTCAAATCCCGTTAAACCACCATCATCTGTGCAGCAAGATTTTGGCGGTTTAACAAAGGTGGCGGTTTATCGAGGGTAGTGGTGCTCTTTAAAATCACTACAGGACGAAAAAAAATTAAGAAAAAGCATGATGGATATAAGAAGAATACCTTTACATTAATATACAGTATGACTTCTTGTGCATTTTTCTTAGTGTTCTTGCTTAATTTTTTAGCAAATATTGCATCCATTTGGTTCTGATTTTTCAGCCATTGCATTCTGTTTGTATTTTAAAATTGAATCTCTCTCCAAATTGGCGGTTTAAAGGGGTAAAAAAAAACAAGGCAGGTGCCTATTTGTGGCCAGAAAATTGTTGGTGGATGGCAGTCTATTGAGGTTTCCCCATCCTTTTAACATTTGGGAGATTTGTTTGGGGTAGAAATATGGCAGGAGGTGAGGGTGGTGGTTTAACGGGGTTTGACTGTTTTCAAAAATTTGCATAACTTATGAACCAACCCAGGTACAATATTGAAACACCATCATACGTTGGGGGGTGGGTGTAGAATAGTAAACTCGAGTTTCAATCAAAACCCGCCACGAACCTCCAGTCCGCGCAAATGCGGGAACCCTACACTCATAACACAGGCTTCCGTGGCGTCTATGGCTTCAATCCTGCCGCCGGCGTCTTTCGCGGGCAAGTGATTGTAGTCCTTGGTAAGCCTGGAGCTGCCCGACCATTTCACGCCGGCGCCGCATCTCAGCAGCCACTCGGCCGCCGCCAAATCCGGACCCACTTCCTTAACCCGTTCCTCGTCGACTTTGTTGAACACGGTGTTGAGCCACCCAAACACTGGTCGGGCGGGGAATGGCTTCAGTGTTGCCAAGGGAAATCGAACGCTGGTTGACGGAGTAATGCTGGAGGCCGCGATCCGGGCGACCCCCGTCCGGATGAGTGACCACATCTGGACATATATACGGGAATAACGGAATAAAATAAGTGTAATGAGGTAAAATAATCTAGCTTTGTATTATATGATGGTGTTGCCTATGTCAGTGCTTTTGTGTGTCTGCTTTCGTCAAGCAAAATATAATCTCTCTTTTCCTATAACGCTCTAATAAAGCCCGACCATTTACGGGATGCCGAGGCTCTTGAAGGGTTCCAAGGTACCGAATTTCTCAGCATTTTCATTTTTTGATGAAAAATAGAATCTTGTCGTTCGAATGACCTCGTGGTTAAGAAACGGAGCAGGAGTTCTGGCCTGGAAAAAGTCATGTATTCATCATGCGGAAAAAATCTAATCAAGGTTGAATAAAGGAATTTTCTCTTTCAAATAACCTTGTGGTGTTGAAAAGAAGCTGGAGTCTCGACGAGGAAATCGTTTTGAAATTTATGCTTCATGTGAAAAAAAAATTGAATCCAGATTGAATCAGGAATTTTTTTAGTTAACCCAGTTGTTGCTGAATAATAGCTTAAGTTATAAAAAAAATCATGAAATTGATTCCACGCGCGAACAACTCGAATCAAGAATCTTATGTTTCAAATAGCCCGGTGGTGTTGAAAAAATGATCCGGAGTTCTGGCCAAGAAAAAGTTATGAAATTGATTCTTCATGTGAAAACAAATTGGATGGAGGTTCTTTTTACGCGGTTTTCTTCAGTATCTACAACTGTGAAGAAGAGAAGGCCACACGTATTTGAATTGGCTGATTAGATTAGATTTCGAGTTTAGAAATTGTTGAACGAGTTTTGAGCACTGTTTTGTTTATAAGGAATGAACAGCTGGAGGAAAATAATAATAAAAAAACAATCCTTTATTATGTAACTGACCAAAATTCTCTCTCACAGCATTGGCGCGAAGGATATTCGCTCTCAATTTTATTTGCCTACACCACACAGGAGACAAGTTGCTCATATCAAAATGTCCTCAACTGGCAAATTTCTCTTCGGCTTTGATTCGCAGGGCTGAATTTCCTTGAGGTTGGGTCAGTGATAACTGTATCAGCATGTTTGTCTTTTTATACTTCATCTAAAGAGAGGGATCCCCTTTTGGATTTACTTTTTAGGTTTATGGAAAAGCTTTCCAATAACAAAATAGGCTTCATTGGGAAGTGATCTGTGACTGAATTTTCTCAGGGTATTTTTTTTAGAAAGCAAAAGGTTTTCTATTTGCAATTTTAGACAGGTTGCCATTTTCCTTGTCAGAGATTGCATTCTTGTTCCACCTTATCCAGTGTGCTTAGCTTCTTCTGGAGCCTTCTTTATCCCAGTAATTAAGCCAAGGCCATGGGAAACTCGTCTCAAGCCATCCCCAGAAATTAGGTTTTCCTCTAAAATTCCAAGAACCTTTTGGCATGTAATTTTTGTGGGCATGCTTTTTTTTTTACAATTACGATGTCCTAGAAAATTATATTTTTATATGGTGTGGTACTCAATTCACCGTGTCTGTCCTTGTAACATAATTAACCTTACAAAATCGAGAGCAGAGAACCTTGCATGCGCAAAAATCGAATATCGATGGACCTTTCAATTTTTAAATATTATTTACATGAACGAATCTAGAGATTCAAGATATAATTCTACAGCGGGTAACCGCATGAAAAGATTTCTTTTTTCCTGAATTAGTTTGTTTTTCAGAAATTTCGTTTTGTAAAACGCTTTTTCCTTTACAGTACAGTATTACGTTTTAATTGATTCTTTTGGTTCGAGCCACGCACGAACAAAAATAAATCCCACAACGAACGAAAAAATTATGCATTTTTCAGCGGAAAATCGTGAATTCAAAATTTTTCAACTTGAAATTGAAGTACTGTAGTCCTACTCTTGCTCGTAACTTTCTGAATTTTTGGAATTTTAATTGCAGAAAGATATTCTGCTATATTCTTCTATTCCCATAACCCTCCATATTTTGAGAAAAATTCCAAATTTGATCATATTTAATCATTTCCTAGCCTAGAAATTTCATTATGTGAAACTATGTCCTATACGCGAGCCACTTTTTCCCCCTGAAGATTTTCGTTATGCGGGGACTCACTGTCTTTCGAATCGAAACATAGCCTGTCGGAAATCCTTTATTCGACAACAACGGAAAAAAAATATAACTAAAGTATAGTTATTCGCGTAAGGAGGAGAAACGCAGCTCGAGACACGCGCTTGTCCCATCACAGCTTCCAATCCGCCATGAAAAAAAAAAAGACGAGCTCGAAGAGTTCAGTTTATTGATGGCAAATGGCAAAAAAAATATGTAGAGAGGAAAAAAGAAAAAAATTAGGAAGACGAAGGAGAAAAAAGGACATGCTACAGGAAAATGCGAATGAGCACAGGCGAGAGACTTTGAACCCTGAATCCCCAATTGTCACTCTGCAAGGGTTGTCAGGTATTCGGTTGGCGAGGATTTAATTGCAGCGGCAACTTCGTCCTCGGCATCTGACAAATCTTCAGTGATTCTAGTGGAAGATTCTCTGCCTGCTTTCGTGCGACGCTTCGTTGGTGGGCTAAACCAAGGAGCATTAAGATTTTAT